CAAGTACTCCAAAGACGAACGGGCGGGGTATCTGTACTTATGATTTTCTCTTCTGTAATAACTTTTTCTTGATGTCTTTTTTTTTAAATAACATCACAGTTATCTCTGGTATCCTTTCCTTCTTACCTCCACCACAGCCATTCCATATAACAAATAGTATTTTTCAAAGAAAAAAATATCAGCACAACCGACTGATACGTGGCACCAAGCGTGACACCTGTGGAGGGTGGGCTGGGGGAGTCCTCTCGTATCTCTTCATTGAGTCACGTTTGATCTACTACGCCATTTTGTTACCTTCACTTCTGATTTGGTGTGGGGTTGTTCTTTCCATTCCATTGTTGTAGTTACCGTGTATACTGTTTTCTTGGCTCTGCTGAGTTCACTCTGCACTAGTTCATATAGATCTTTCCATGCTTCTTTGGCTTCATCACACAAATCATTTCTGACAGCACAATGATATTCCATTACATTCATAGACCACAATTTGTTTAGCCATTCCCCAATCAATTGGCATCTACTTTGTTTCCAAAGTTCCAGTGCTTTGCTATCACAAAAAAGGCTGCTACAAATATCTTGGCATCTTTGAGGATTATCTTCCTATCCATAACCCCAGTAATGAAGTCTCTGGTTCAAAGCGTGTGGACAGTTTAATTACTTTACCTATATAATAATTCCAAATGGTTTTCCAAAATGGCTGTGCCATTTCACAGCTCCACCAACAATGAATTAGTGTGTCTGTCATTCTACAATCCCTCCGACATTAATTAGTGCCATTTCTGACATCTTTGCCATTTTGTAGGGTATAAGGTGAAACCTCAGAGTTGTTTTGATTTTAATTTCTCTTACTCTTAATGATTTGGAGCATTGTTTCATGTGGTTGTGAATACTTTGCAAATCTTTTTTTGAGAAATGTTTGTACATATCCTTTGACCACTACTGGGATTTGTGACATTATTTTAATGCTTGTACAATTTAAGAAACCATGTATATTATATTCCCTTTGTTTTGGAACAATGGGGTACAAACAAGAACTAATATTTTATATGATGAATTTTTAGGACAGTCTATGAAGACTTTGTCAAGGTTGAAACTGCATATTAATTAGCACAGGAGAGAAAATGAGATTACACATCAGATGGTCTTTTTTCCAGAAATTTTTTTAATGTTTATAAATATTAGCTACCACCTCATCAGTAGTTGAGTTTGGCTGAAGCAAAGTACAAATGGAGGGGGATTATTATGCAACAAGGCTGGAAATCCAGGAAGATCCTTGAATGCCTGAATAATAGGAAGATGGCCTCAACATGCCACAAATGATTGCCTTTCACTAGAAGTCCATAAGCGCTAGAAATCAGTAGGGATGGCAATATATTGGCAGGACTCATGACTCAGATTTAGAGAAAGATGTTAAGGCTTTACAAAATGCTTTCCTCACAACGAGCCCCTGAAATTGGTCGTGCAATTTACCACCATTTAAAGACCCTGAATCTTAGAGAGACTAAGTGACCAGCCCATTGTCATATGTCTGGTAATACTCTGAGCCAAGATAGAAATTCGGGTCCTCCTGATTCCATGTCTAGTATTCTTTCACACTGCCTAATATTCAATGATGACTTTACTGAGGTTGATGAGGTGAGTTGGGAGGTGACTCCTTGAAATCTGATTCAGGAAGGCAAAATTCCTTCTGAGCTTCTAGCTGGCCAGATCAAAAATGGCAATAGCTGACAACAGTCTCATCATTCATGCAAAGTAAATAAGGAAAAATGATGAAAAGTTACCCTCACCACACACCTCCATTCTATGTATTCAAAGAGTATATTTATGATCATGCCAATCTTTATTGATGTTAATTAAGAGTATTAAATATCAAGAGTTAAATGGTAATGGATAAGTAAAAGCTGCTTTTCTCTATGGCCCCTCCAGCTGGAAAATGAGGTAGAGGTGTCCAGGGATCTCAGAAATTAAAAGGGAACACAAGGAATAACAGTTAGTGAAAAACAGAACTTGCTTTGGTAAGAGTTAGAGACAGTAAGATCATTTTTTTTGAGGTAACTGGTCCAGTAATACCACCTAGATTGGACTCTGGGTAGCAAATGGGGAATAAAAATGGGAAGTGCAGTATCCTAGAGCAATTAGTGGTATCACAGAGAAAAACTACATACACCAGGAATAAAGTGAAACTCAAAAGAGAATAAAAACTTTTTGAATAACAGGGTAAAGGATATGGGCCAGGAACAAAGTAAACCCAGATCACTGGATCTCTACGCAAAGAAAGGAAGTTCTCATTAACTATGACTCCCTATGCTGGACTGCGAATTCATTGTAAAGTACTTTGCAAACCTTAAAATATAATTAAAATGCTAGCTTTCATTATTATTATTACTATACATGGTATTAAACCCTTACAAGTTCTCATAGCCCTAACATTAGTTTTACTGAACCCAACAAGCACAGATCCTAGATTGGAACAAGCCTCAGGCTCCATTTTGTCCAGCCAGTACTTGGCCAAGAACCTCTTCTATCCCCCAATATCCATCTCAGTATCCCCAATCAGAGTTCCTTTCCTGAGTCTCTCTTTTCTTTTCACATAAAGAACTTCATAATTTCCTCGTAATTAAATCGACATCTCTCAAAATTGTTTGTCTTTGTGATCAGTGCAATGACCGTCCATGATTCCAGAGTAGTGACGGTGAAATATGTTACCTACATCCTGACTGAGAGGCAATGGACACAGGGTACTGCACCCTATCTCCATCACCTCTCAGTCAGACTGTAGACAACGTTTCATCGTTGGTCAACAATGACAAATATGCATAGTCAAACAAAACAAATTTCCTCAATGGTTGTACATGCATGTGCGCAATAAACATATATGTGCACATATATTCATACACGTTTGTTGTATACACATATATATATATATACACATATATGTACATTGTGCCTGAGTCTCTCTTGAAAACCTGCACAGAGTTTGCTTCTGACAATCTTCTAAGACCATGAAGAACAGGACAGGCAGGCTGCCATCTCAAGGTCATATGCAGGGACTCAAATTTCTTTGGGGGGAGGGGACAACAAAGACAGGGAACCTACCATGCTATTACGGGCAACCTATTATTGTCAGATCTTTCATGTTTACTTCTTGTAGGACAGAATATGAAAATCTAAATTATCTCAAGTATTACCTCAGGGCCATTCTGCAACTAGATAAGAGTTCGATATAGTCCACTGTAGTGAGGGGGCCTCTTGCTACATAAATCGGTACGTGGAGACCTCCCCTATACGCATAAGATCCCCAAGTTCTATGCAATCTATGTATGTGGGAGAGTAGAATGGTGGATCCAAAACAGCTTAGGTAAACCAGAGACGGTGAAACAAAGGAAAATGGGGAAGATGCGTTTTTACTGTAGTACAAATAGTTAATATAGGTGCATTTGAAAGTGAGCCACTGACCATGCACAGTTTCTCCTACTTAAATACACACATACACGATTATGTTGGTGATATGGGGCATGTGGGGTCCACTTTGAGTTCATGCAAACAAACAGCTCAGCTTCCTTTTCTAGGCACATTCTTGGTTTGCAAACACAAACATGCTTTGCACCACTCTACAACGTTACCTCAGGTGGACAGCAGCTTACAGTCTTCTAGCAGGGGCAAAATCCTATGTTTGCTGAGCATCTCTTTAAGTCTTGCTTAAAAGAAAACCAAACACAACCCCAGGAAATCCAAAGAAAATCAGATTTAGTTGTAATTACTTTGCACATAGCATCTAAAAATCTTAATGCACTTTACAATCAAAATGCATGAAAGCTGGAAGTTAACATAGAAAAAGCATACCCAACATGAGCTTGCTCTCCAGGAAATCAGGAATGGCTTCCCACCCACCACAGAGCCACAAGTTAGAATACAAGCAAGAAATATATCTGGGAGTAGATTCTGTACAACATCCCCCTGGGGGCAAAAATATCTGGCTGAGTTTCCTGGACAAACCAAGCAAAACCATGTCCTACATCCTGTTCTATAGGGCTGTATGAGGATGGTAGCTTTCCAATGAATGGGAATGATCCTTGGCCAGAATTGGTATCAGGAAGATATGGGTTCAAGTCCTGAGTGAGACATGGATTAGCTGTGTGACCATGGGCAAATCACTTAACCTCTCAATGTTACATATACACATACCCACACCCCCATCGCCTCCAGCATCTCTCTAAGACTATAAATTGCAGATGAGTTGTCCATCTGGATTGCTGAAGGAGTTCAGCACACACTGAGTTCTCTATCCCGATGAAGTCACAGGCCCAGCCAAAGTCTCTTCTCCTCCTCTTCCCCCTCCCCCAAATTACAAGTATATAAGCCATTCCCAGAGCTTTGTAGCTACAGATGGTCTTCACTCTACTTTTTACCAGTCAAGAAACTTTGAAAATTTGGGAGTAAAATCATGGATGAGAAAACTGAAATTACCCCTAACTCAGTGGGTACAAATTGTTGTAAGAAGACCAATAGAAGCCCTCACTTTGGGCACGGGGGGGGGGGGGGGGAACAGGAGCCAATGGAAGGAATCATAAGGATAAGAGCTACTACTTGCTCATCTTCACTAACTCCGTCAGGGTGGACTTTCTTGTATGTGCAATAACATGGGTCAGGAGAGTGACTGATTTAAGCAAAGAAAAGTGGCCCCAGAGACATTAAAAGATTTGTTCAAGAAGAAGGAGGAGAGGGGAGCTAAAACTTAGTATTTCCGAATCTTAATTTGCTCTTCGGAAAGAAATATAGATTCTTCTGAAATGGCATCGTAAGGAGTAAAGAGGGGCCTGTGAGAAGACATAGAGAACTATCAATGGGGCTTTAAAACATGGATTCCAACCAATAAAATTCGAGAGTTTTGTTGTTCTAATACAGATGTGGTGCTTAAAAGCCCTGAGATAATACTAATAAATTGCAAATATGCTGCAAAAAAGAAAAAACTAGATCAAAATTTAATAGGAAAAAAGTCTCACCTCTGGTTTGCTGAGGCTGGATGACACCAGGGAGCCAGATCCTACATCTAAATCCCATTGTTTTCTACCATGATTGTCAGGATCCAATGCAGCGATTCGTCCATCCAACGTACTGATAATCACCAATGATCTATAATTTTAAAAATAGTCACCAGTCAAAATTTAAAGAACTACCAAGAAAACATTCAACAAATGAAAACACTCTCAATTCTAGAAAGTCCCTTTTGAGATAGGAAACAAGAATCTTTAGGGGAAGAAGAGGGAAGAACAGTGATACGATCACTCTAGCTGGCCTAGCATTAAGGCAGGCACTTATGGCCCAGAATAATCAAGACAGGTGCTCATGGCTTAAGATCAAAAAAGGTACTCAGGCCAAAGATCAAGCCAGGTCCAGAATCAAGACAGGCATTCGTGGGCTAGGATCAAGATAGATGTTCATGGGCTAGAATCAAGACAGACACTTATGGGATGGAATCAAGACAGGTGTTTATGGCCTAAAATTAGAGTAGGAACTTAAGGCCTAGAATTAAGGTAGGCATTTATGAAAAGGAGAGGTGAATCTTTTTTTTTCTTTCACTTTTTCTAATTGGTTTGCAACAACTTTGCCTTCTTTTCATTTGCTGCAAAAATTGCAAATTCAGCCAATAATACAAAAAATGATCTGGCAAATATTCCACTCATATCCTTTTCTAAAATACAATAATCTCAATAATAAGTTCCACAAATCCACACTTTTCAAAAATCTTATAGATTATTATTCAGAAGATAATTCTCTTTTTAAAGATTTATTTTGAAGCTGAACACCAAATAAAATGGGTATTTCATATACACAGAACAGAAAAGAGGACTGTACTTAAAACTGCGATTATGTTTCCTATTTAAGTATATAATAAATTCAACATGTAACTTCAAAGTTGTCCTTGTCTATGAGAAGCTAATTCTCTAATTAAGAGGTTAATTTCCCCACAAAACATCTTTTAATTTAATTTCTAAAAATATAAACTTCACCAATAATAGATAAACCAAAAAATAGAACTTAACCTAAGAAAAAAGCAATAACAACAAGAATCCCTCCACATTCTCAGTACACCAGCTAAAGAATATAGCAAGTAAATTTACATTTGTATTTTTTCAAAGATCTTCAAATCTCCAACTTTTAGAAACTGACCTTTCCACTTCAGAAACAGGAAGGCAAGTTAGTCCCAACTAACAATATTAACCCTCCAAACCAACCAAAGGGGACAGTTTTGTAACATCAATTCAGTTTTATTTTACTCAGTATATTAAAGATCCATTATTTTCCTAGCATGTCACTTATTGGAGCAGAATACATATGGCAAACTGAAACACTTAAGTGTAATTTACTGGAATCATGGCATTATTCCAACTATTCAAAGGGTTTTCACAGTGAAAAAAGGACAAGATTTTGGCACTCAAAAAGTTTACCAATCTCAAGAGGGGATAAGGTAGACTATCACTCTCACATATAAACGTAAGAATTCTTTTATGTGCATCAGTACATGTTTTAATGAAGTGTTGGGGTTTAATATCTCAGGTCAATAGCAGTAAATCTGTTACCAATTTCCACTGAACACCTGCTCTGGGTGTGGTTGAATAAAAAGTTAGAGCATGATTTTCCAATTAATTAAGTCATTTTATTTTGTCTCTTTTTTAAAGAAACATTAACACCTAGGTATAACCGGGTATCTTTTTAAAGAAATCTACTTTTATCTTTCACTGCTTAATTTGATTAAGGTTTCCATGGGTTTAAGCAGAGTAAGAAAGGCTCCTAAATCAGGATCACTGCGATCAAAAACCCTAGCCTCTCTCTGACTGGAAACTTTCATTTAACCCAGTCTTCTACTTTCTGCTTATAATTTATTGGAGAAACACTCCCATTTGACTTTCCAAATTCCCCGCTTCTTCTTTATCCTTATGAAAAGCAAAAAGAAGAAATTCATACAGCAAAATTTTTATTAGCCTAACGGTTGTTTGGTTGTTTGTTTGTTTTTCCCTAATCTATAAGCCAGCTTCCTATTCCCAGGGTTTTAAAAAAAAACCTGAAAAAGCTGGTGGTGTTACTTTCTCTTTAGAAATGATTAAGAGCTGCTCCTCAGATGCCCTGAATTTTCCTTACTTCAAACTAATGAATGTAATTCTAACTATCTGCAAAAAAAAAAACAAAAACCCAAACAATGTATTTATTACATTTTAAAAAGTTAATTCTGTATTTGGAAAAGAAAAAGCATCTTATTTATCACCTAAAACCACTGAGAAATTAAGCCAAGTTCTCAACCTCAACCTATTTCTACAAAGTTACCAGATTAATTTTTCCAACTAACAAAATGAGGAAGGTAAAATTGTGTTTTACAAACCTAAGCAGGATGGGCAAATAAAAAGTCAAGTTAACAAATTGCATGTTCTTTGAAACATAGTCAACATACTGGCTGTATGGCCCCGGGCAACTAAACCTCTCAGTGCTCTGGAGGGCAAGCAACCCTCTAAAACCATCAATTGCTAAAAAGACCCAGAACTGCATTGGTAGAGGAAACTCATTTATGTGGGAGTTCCCAGCCAATGAAAGCTGGAGTTTTACACCAATGAAGTCACAGTTCTAATCTCTATCCCTAGATTTTTGTACATTTCTGCCTTAATTCTAGGCAAACTAGAGCAACCAGATAGCTATTTCACAAAAATTAAATCTTAGCACCAGAAGACCATTCTAATACATAAGCATGACACAGACCCATCACCCCACATGCCCTGGCCAGCAGCCCGGCCTTTGTTAATACTCAGCAGCTGGAACCCAAATACTAGCCTTTTTTTGGGTAGGCACCACTAGCCAACTGCTTTATCCAAACAAGATGCTCGGTATTCTCCTTCATTTTGAGGAGAGGTATATCTGGAGAACTGGGATGAATTAGCTGTAAGACACACTACTGGAAAGTTTAATGAACTGGCTGCTTGGAAAGTACTAACCTTAACCTTAACGGGTGCTATTGAATTTCTACCAAATCCAATAAATACCACAAACACTAAATGCCCAAAATGTCCTCTCCTTCTTTAAATTCTTCTAGGGCATTTCATCTGATTATTTCCTTTGACCTGCTAACTCTACCGTATATTGGGCCTCTGGGTACTTGAAATAACCCCCCAGTAGATTATAAATTCTATTAAGGCAGAGGCTGTGTTATTTTTCATCTGTGTAGTCCCTGAACAGAACAGAATGTCTTATAATAAACCTTATAAAGGTTTATTAAAATTATTTCATTTTCAACATAACGGATGAATTAAATGAATGAAATAAAAGTATTTTTATGGGCTCCTCTGAGGCATGGTCTCTGGTCAAGTAACAGTATCTATAAAAGCTATTTTGAACATCATCCCAAATGGAGCTAACAGGTGTTATGGGCAGCCAGCAACATCGGCTGGAATGGATTTAACTAAGGAGTATGAAAAATGCCTGTTGTTCAGACACATAGTGAAAAGACCAATCCACCAGTCCACATATCTGAGATGGGCACCAGAAACGAGCTAATTCCAAAATTGAAAAAGAGTGGAATAAACTGCACATGGAAAACTGTGCAAGGCTTGAAAGGCTCTCTACTCCTTAGAACAAAACAAAACAAAACAAAACAAAAAAAAAACTAACCTGACAGTGTTACATGGTTATGAATCTTGAAATGCCCTGATCGCTGAAGAAACAAGTCCATGGGTACACCACAGGTCAAGGGAGAGAGGGATGGTACATGAAAGAAAAAAGAAGCACCGTTCCACAATCACCTGCACACAAGTGGCCAAAGAGACGGCATTCAGGAACACGTGATCAGAAAGGAGGCAGGTAAGTTATACATTAAGAACAAAGGATAGCAGGTCATCATGCTGGAAGGAACTTTAGAGGTCCTTCAGTCCAGCCCCCGAAATCTAATTGATGAGAAAATTAGGCCCCAGATGCTTAAGTGACTCGCTCAAAGTCAGACAGGTAGGCGCAGAAGGAGATCTGGACTCGAAATTCCGCATTCCTTCCACTAAGCCAGATAGTGCCCTGGCACCCACAGAGTGTGAAAGGAGGCAGGCATAGAAGGCAACGTGAACAAGCACTGAAAGAATCCGGCAGCATGAAAGGAGTGGATGGAGTGCAATTTGCATCAGTGGAGGTAATGACACCTGAGGAAGTCACAAATCCACTGAAGTATCAAATTGTAAGTGACTGATGTTGAACTACCGACCTTTGGAGCTGGAAACAACCAGCAGGTCTAGATACCTGAGACCATTCCTGGTTAAAGAAAATGAGCACAGAGAAGATCATTCCAAGGCAGTGTGGTGCAGTAGAAAGACTGTGGGATTTAGAGTCAGAAGACCTGAGTTCAAATACCAACTCTTCATGTATGACTATGGACAAGTCACGTAAACTCTCCAGGTCTCAGTTTCCTCATCTGCAAAATGAAAGTATTTCATTAAATGACCTTCTATAATAGATGACCTTCTAAAGTCTCTTTCAAGTTCTGTCTATGATCCCCTGTGACTGTCTTCTTATTGGCTAAACAAGCAATTAAATCCAATTTATCTTTTTTATTCTTTGTTATAAGAGATGGCACTGTGGGAGGAGGAGAAAAGGAAGAATATGTTGGGAAATGATGATATAGAAACAAAAATGTAAACACCAATTTGTTCTAAAAAATTCAATTCCAAGAATTGGAAATTGAGAGGATGCCCATCAATTGAGGAATGGCTGAACAAGTTGTAGTATGTGAATATAATGGAATACTATTATACTATAAGAAATAATGAGCAGGCAGATTTCAGAAAAACCTGGAAAGACTTACATGAACTGATACAAAGTGAAGTGAGCAGAACCAGGAGAACATTGTACACAGTAACAGCAACATTGTACGATTATCAACTATGACTGACTTATCTCTTCTCACTAATACAATGATCCAAGATAAGTCCAAAAGACTCATGACGGAAAATGCTATCCACATCTAGAAAAAGAAATGATGGATCCTGAATGCAGATCGGAGTGTCCTATTTTCACTTTATTTTTTCCATGGTTTCATCCTTTTACAAACTGTTTCTTCTTTCACAACATGACTAATGTGGAAACATGTTTTACATGATTGCACATAC